GGTTGCTGGTATACAAGACGTTGTTGCACTAGGACACGTTTGTAATCCGAGATGTAATTCAAGCAAAAGCTTTCGCATTTTACCTCCGTTTTGTCCTTACTGAACCCCTGTGCACTCACTAATTTCTTTACCGTTTCCACGGCAACGCACACTTCCTGTCCGTAGAACACGATTGTATCGCTTGGCGTCGATTGGTTTTTATCGATCACGAAAGATCGAGGATCGTAACAAGACTCTTCGACAGAAAAGCGCTCGAAAGAAGATGACGTGCATCTCTTGATCTCCAATCTCATTCGCTGTTGGTTTCCCGCGCGGCCACGTGGTACCTGACACACGTGCTCACAGATTGGGAGGTAAAGCCATGCGGCTGTCCACTGTGATAGTTGCTTGCACACGGCGGTTGTGGATCCTCGAGCAACATACCCTGGGTTGCACTGGTAGGTGACCGTTCCGTCTAAACTGCCGTTGGTCACACCTACCACGTGACCGTTGGTCACCTGAGGAGGCTGACCACAGGTAGGAAGCTTACGGCACCGAGCTATACCACTGTCGTCCCATTTTAATTGTGGCACGAAATTAATTAAAATATTTTTGCAGGTGATTGTGGTCTTGCCGCCTTCGAAGCTGTAGCCGGTGTCACATGTGTATACCGCAATGCCGTTTTCTGTGTTGTTTGTGACGTTCACTAGCTTCCCGTTTGCCATGTCAGGGGGGTTCCCGCACGTGGGAATTTTCACGCACATCGGCGTGTAGTTCCAATAGAGTTTATCCCCATAAGAAGTACATATGACTGCACGATTAGTCCTTGACTGGTCATGGAACCGATAACCAGCATCACATTCGTAGTGTGCTTCCCCATGTTCGTACCGGCTCGAGATATTCACCAACCGACCGTGCGGGACAACTGGTGGCTCGGAACATTTCGGGATTGGTACGCACTGAGCGCTGTCTTTAACGACCCATTGGGATTTGGGGTTGTCGTGCTTAAGGAATTTGCACGTGGTCACCAACCCGTCTGCTTTGTTGCTTGCTTGGTGCAGTGAGTTACACTTATAGGACGCCGTGCCGTTGAGGGTCGTATTGGTCACCGATGTCAACGTGGAATTGGCTAGCGGCACTGGCTGACCACAGTTGACGTAATGGCAAACGGACCTCGTATACCACTGGCCATTCTTTTGGCAAGTGGCTGAGCCGTCACCATCCAGATAACTGTCATCACCACAGCGAAACTTTGCCACGTCTTCGTACCTCGTGCCCGTGGTGCTCACCAAGGTTGAGTTGGGTATAAGTCCGGTAGGGTCGCCACAGTCGATTACTGTTTCACAGTGAATGCCAATGTAGGTGCGCGGGCACGTGCACTCTACCCTGCGTCGCCCGAAGTTCTCGCACGTCCCACCGTTAAGACAGGGAGATTTGTTTGTGCATGTCATGTCGTACTGACATCGTAGCCCGTAACTAGCACGCGGGTCATTCCCTGCACTAGGACAGTCGCAGAGGTAAGACTTGTAACCAAGACTGAGGCATTTTCCGCCTCGCTGGCAAAGAGAAGATGAAACCCCCGAATTTTGGTTTGCTGAGTCGCAAGCAAGAGGAAGCTGTTTAACCGCCGAGCAGGGGGTATGGAACAGCTCAACAGAGTCTAGACCAATGTAATCCTTGGAAGAATAATATGATTTAAAGTTAGCCTCGAAAAGGATTTTATAGTCTCCTCTTGGTAAGTCAAGGTAGCCTCGAACCCACCGTTCGCCGTATTGCTTGGGAACTCTGTGGAAGAGGGTATCGGTCCCGTTGGAATGTCTGAGGTAGATATTAAACACGTTTCTTGTATCTTCACTGGGCAAAACGTCATTGTGATAAGACATAGTCAAACATGTATCCTGTGCGACCGATATCGTTGGGGATAACAGTTTGGACACGGATGAACCTAAAAGAGTCGAATAGTGGCTGCTTGTTACAGCGAGGAACTTGCCGCTGGGAGCTTCAGTCATTTTATCGGGGTAGTAATTCTCTTTGGTTATCAAAGCCCATTTAAAGTCGCTGTCATTAGAGTATGTATAGCCGCACGTGTCCATGTCCTCGAAGCCGCAATCGCCTGGAACTTTGTTCAAAGACGCGCTGTCGCCACAGGCCCCTGTGTCAACGGCAACGTCGGTAATAGCAACATACCCAACGGCGTAGCTTGTGTATCGCCTCATGGCTGAGAAAGCCAAGCGATATTCCCCAGCAGAAGGGATCGTTATGGATTCTCTGTGCCATTCTTTCTTCTCTGCTGATCGGATGCATCTCACGTGGTGCACAGCCTTCTCTTGACCTTGAGCGTCACGCACGTGCACGCGTAAGCTTGCGTCGCTCTCGTGGCGGTTTTTGCACTCGCTGTTGACGTAATCAAAATGGATGCAAGAGGGGCCAGTTGTTGTAAATTTGGGACTCACCACGGTGGAAAACTTAAAGTCCGCATCGATATCTGCGTAGGGTTGAACAATTAGACCCCTGACCGTGAACTCGGTACAGGTGCTGCATAGTTTCCTCTTTGCATTTGCCCATTCCCACAACAAACCGTTTGTATTTTCGTTCTTGTAGCCGCATATGTCTGGCTTTTGAAAGTCGCAGTTTACGTCGTCTGCTCGTGTCGACTCGCCGCAAAACAGCAGCAGGAGAGTCACAAAAACGAGAAACGTGCGTTTCATACTGATAGAGTAAATTATGAAATCTGTTTTTCTTTCTTCCGCTTTCGTTAGTTTTAAAAAAGTCCAATCTGGAGATCTGTTAAACCTAATGTCTCCAGGCACTTCTACTGTGTGCGTTTTCGTTACACGGGCAAAAGTTATAAACACTTGCCCTTGAAAGTTATCGTCTGCTTTTCAGTGAGCAAGCAATGAACTGACCCGCTTGCCGCTCGAGACCGATTATATAGCCTCCGCGCGCGGCCGATCCTTCAGAGTTAAATTTCCTTGGTTGATTCAGCGGCTCACTTGTCTTGGTAAACAAGTCTGGTTATATAGCGATAACCTGATGATGTCACCTGATATGTAACTGTGAGAAACTTCCGGATTATTAATTCTGCGGAAATGGACAATTGAACTTTGTTAATAAGTGAACAATATCCGTTACCTCTTCATAATTAGAGTTTTCATGGCAGTTATTCCTGGAAAACGCTTTGGTTGACAATCACCGTTTACATTGCATCCTGATTTTACTTCTTAAATTTATTAATTAATTAATTTATTTTATATTTCAGGGCCTTAAAAGTCAATATCAAACAGGGTGGTGTGAAGAAGCCTTAACTATGCGCTAATAGGGATTTTATCAAGTCTTTTTCAGTCTTTTCCTGGTAGATGACGATCTCTCAGTGAAATTAATGACGTTCCCCGGTGGATTTTGCTATTGAAAACCTTGGATTATTGTACTGTGTGTGTGCATGACTATCACCAATCTGCGTCTCTTCATGACCTTGACGCGTGCTATATATTTCATTCAAAATAGACGATAGCTCTACCGGGACATTTACCATATATAGGAACCGTAGTCCGCTCCCCGTTTCTTTGTACAGGTGACATTCGTCCCATATACTAACCCCTATACTCCGACTAACCCTAATCAAGGACATATATTCAATATACGTCCTTGTCCTAACCTGTACTAATCATGTATGGGTCCCCGGACTACCATTCCTGGCACATCTATACCAGTCAAAATTCATAATGGATCATTAATGTGAAGCCTAATTAAGAGGGTGGCCTGAAGTATCTCAAAACCCTTCATACAATTTTGATTTCAATTGCCTAATCTATAAAAAACAGTCTTATAACAAACGCCGCGAGCAATAGCAGTAAAGGGAAAGTCCCTTTGAACGATGACGTCTTACGTTATCATGACGTCTAAACCGGTAGATGGCGGATGAGATAGGGTATTCCCCCTTTATTTACCGTTACCCAAGCTGGCCTGGGCGCACCTCCGGTATTTTTAGAATACGAACACAGTAGCGAGAATCCAATCGAATCAAATGATATTTAACTGAAATCTTTCTGTTTATAGGCCTATCCCGTTATCGCTTTACCTCTGCTCGGGTATTGGATGCTTAGCACTTGCCCTTCTGAAGTTTTAAAACTCTAGTAGCTACGTAGATCTACGTAGACCCTCTGTGCCTTTTTTTGTATGCATGTATTCATCTTAACAGAATCTGCTTTGAGGCGCATGGTATACTTAATATGTTAATTCTTTTTTTCGAGATTCTGTTGTACAAGCCATCAAATATTTTCACTCTTTTTTTCTCTTTTGGAAGTTTATATCAATTATATATCTGGATTACAATCGAGAATACTATGTCTCCCTAATTAACGGGAAGCCGTTCAAGTTTTTTAATCAGCAAGTCAAGATGACTGGACATTGTGTAAGTCTTAATCCATTTACAGTAAATAGGCTTTAACTGCTCTTTGTCACGGCGAAAATTACCGTGTATTTTCATTAATGCAAACACATAGCTAACTAGTTACTTTACTTTAACGCCGACATGAAAAGGGTATACACGTTTTTCAATTTTTTTTAAGTCTGTAAATTCTTTGCCCAGTTAAGCTAACAAAACTTAACCAATAACGTTTAAAAAGCAGTGATATGCAGTAGTGAGAATTTATTTTCGATCCGTTTGGGAAAAAAATCGAAATGATCTCTCCGTATACCATTTTGATACACTGTACACATTTATTATAATTAGAGCTGGCTCTAAAAAATAAGTCGCTATCTTTCCTGTGTTTGCCTGTGTTTGCATGTGGACTGTTGTTGCTAAAACACAGGATAATTGCCAATGCCGCTTGAATATTAGTTATTAGTTATTTGAATCATATTATCACGAAATAATCACATGGACGGTCACGTAGGCCTACTCTTAACACCTCGCCAATGCATTACCAGCTATATCAGTTAATAATGAACACATTACCTTAACTAAATGACTTTAGACAAAGTACCATTATTGCTTTGTAAAAACGTTCTTGAGGGACCTAAACAATAAAGGGCTACGAGGGAGATCAACTTTTTTATTTCATTAATTTTTTATGTCAGCAATGCGCATGCGTCGATCATTAATGTTGCACTGAAGTGACCTTATCAAGGCCTCATACCTTAACCTACGCCCTATACAAACTGCTTATTTCTGAAGGACACCATATTACTCCGCCTTTATTATTTTGAAAGATCAGCAGGATGTATGGAATACATAAGGGGCCGTTCAGAATAAGTCAGGTCGACCTAGCGACTGCACACCAACTCTACGGATACCTTCGCTGAATGCAATTAGATTAACAGACCACCACGCCTCTTCTTCTTTCCCGGATGATCGTACTCGTACATGTAGGCTATAACCACAAGTTTCTCTAGATCTGTTGGCAAATTTTTTGGAGTCTCTAGATCTGTCTTCTACTGAACGTCAGGAGGCGTGTTAGACTGTCAATCTGATTGCATTCAGCGAGAATCCCCGTGAAGTTAGTGCGCCCTAGCTATTTCGACCCAACACATTCTCATTCACTCTCGCAAAATTATCACATGTGTGAAACTAATTGATAGCAAGTTGATTGCAGGAAGACAGGTTATTGCATAGTGTTATTTTTATTGTGCTATCCGACTGCTTTAAGATGCAGCAAATGAAACATTATTAACAATATGTCACTCTTCTCATTATTATGTACTTAACACGTTCCTGTCACTTGTTTATGTAATTACCGCCCAGGCATAATCACTCTGTCACATTCAAGATCTCATTTCTTTGCCATCAACAATGTCCTTGGTATTGTTATATAGAGGCAAATTGCTCAAGAAACCTAGGGCACAAAATATTATGTCCTAGAATAAACCTAGAACCTAATATCGGTCTAGAGGGTACTATGCTACACCAGTCATTCACCAAAACCACTTTAGGCCCCTATACTCTGCACAATATCTTCAACGATACTCAATTTAATGACAAATATTGACTTTTACATCCAAACGTGAAGGAGAGCGAAAGGTAAGTTCTAGGTTTTTTTTTCAGCTGCTGTCTTGATGAAAAAAGTCTCAGTTCGTCGAGAAAAATAACCGAGTGACAGCTGTTATACATGTTGTATGTCAGCTTCCATGCAAATTTTGTAGTTCTTTGAAAATACAGCTGTTCCTATTTTCTCATATTTTGAAACTTTGACATGAAATAAGTGACATTGGTCATTGATATATTGTTTTTCAAAGCCCCACTGTAGTGTCCTCTTAGTAAGTGAATCACGATTCGCTGCAGGATAACGGTACATAATAATATATCTTTCGTGGATAAGCCATACATGTAACACTGATTCATTCATATATGTGGATGAAAATTTTATGATTTCTAACTGTGATTCATGAGTCCATTTTGCCTCAAAGCGCTGAGAATTGTGCACTGTATTCGATACAAATAGCAATAAAGACGTAAGTAAGTGTGGTGAATAAATGTGAATCATATATTCGTGCTTTCGAATGTTGTAAATAGCTTGTTTCTGTCTAAAGTGTGGTTAACAGCGGTGTTTCGTAAGAGTAAAAATAGTGAGTTTTGTGGTCTTCGTTCGTTATCAAGCCACACTCTGCCAGACACGTGTCGCGTTAATCGCAAATATGCAGTTGTCATTTGGATGGAATAAAGTTGCCTCGTTGAGTTGTTTTAAAAAACAATGAAGGCGCCTGCTAATTGACTCGTGACTGGTTTCTGCCGAGTCCTGCCAAATATCAAGGACACCTGTGTTATACATACATGTACACCCCATTTCCATAGATTAGATCGACCTACTTTAGATCGACCTAACTCCCTGGGGGTTCACGCTAAATAGCTGTCAGCCGGGCGGACACGAAAGTTAATTATCCCCTTACAGCTTGTAGTAGGCGGGACGGACATTTAAGTCGGATTATCTGAAAGTAATCTAGTGAGACTCCCCGCGAGGATAGATCGATCTAAAATCTATGGGAATAGAGCCGTAGACTTGTAGTGTTATATGGCAACGCAGACAGTAACAGTGTGGAATAAAAATGGTTAATATTGCTGTATGTATGTCGTAAATCTGGGGTGCATAGTGAGTTAGATAAGGTTATTAATATTGACGGGAGGTGCAATGAATCAACGTCAGAAACATTGTCGAACTTGAAGATATATAAACTCACAATAGGCTGTGGCTGACATTTTAAAACTATTCAAATAACCAATGCTATGGACGTATGTTCTATTGTAAGCCACCTTAAACTTTAACAACAACAACAACTAGAACAAAAACAACAACAACAACAACAACAATAATAATAATAATAATAAATAGCCAAAAAACTCAGTCTTAAACAGGTCTCTGGGCTTGACTTTCCTGATATCCTGTGGAGTGTTCCAGAGCTCACCAAAACAACAACAACAACAACAACGTAACCATGGCGACACGCAAGAGATTTTAGAATAAATCAGATGAACAAGCCAGCAGAGATGACGGACAAAGATTCGTAAACAGAGGCGTGGGCTAGAAAATCGAACAGACACGCAGGCTAAAGAGGAGACAGAAAACGATAAAAACACCGATAAATACCCCCAATAAATCAATCTTATCAGGGTTCTTATTAATTAAAAATTTTTGGTTACTATCTGCCATAAACGCACTCATTTACTTTCTTATCTAGTTGTTTTTTATTGATTATTTTTAAAAGTATTTGTTTATTTTTTAAGATACCGTTTGTGCCGTATTTAAAAATTGAAATGGGTTAATTGTATGAAATGCCAGAGTATACAATTGACTGTGATTGCTAATCATATAAGATAATCAAATGCCCAGTATCTAGAAAACAAGCATTGGAAACATACACGCCCAAGCTTAATTAGCTACCGGTAAAACTGGCTGTTGAAGTCATCAAAATGTCATAACGGCTTAGCTTAGGCAGATTTTAGCCAATGAAAACGTGTTTGGTAATTGTCAATCAACGTTTTAGAAAACATGATATATTA